AAGAAAATCGATATTCTTCGTCGTTTAAAAACATATCTTCAAAATAAAATAGTTCAGTTCCATAAAGAATGAAAATATCATGTGTAATTGCCTTGTATAAATAAGCGTAACGTATTAATCAACATCTGTTCCGACAGTTCTCTTTTGTCGTCGACCCACAAATGATAGACGAGAGAAAAATTTCTCTTTCATAATCATTTTTCTCCTTCTGTTCTCTTGTTTTTCTTGTCCATATTCTCAACTAATATCATATGTGATTATTTCTTCTTTCACTCAGTCAGCATCGATTCTTTTCTTTTTCCTTCAGTTGACATTTTGTGAAGGAGAACAGAAAGAGACACGCGGATTTGATTTCTCAGTTCGGTTGAAGTTATTTTTGTCTCGATGAGTCTTTATCGGTCGATTTGTTATACGTTTTATCCTCGACGTCGCCGGAAATCTTATCTTTTTCTGATGATTTTCGTCATATTGTTGTATTATTATTATCAATTTCTTGAACTCTCGTCTTATCCAACTGAAATAACGATAATTTCGGAAGATTTCGATAAACTCCAAAATCGATTTCTCGAGAAATCCAGTGAAATATTTTCCAAATATCTTCGAAGTCCGTACGAGATCAATATTTGGAGAATCATCAATGAATCCAATGCAAAATATGCAGACAAATCTTCGAATAACAAATATCTTGTTTATTCTTGTCCATTTATGTGTGGAGGTAACGACGAAACATGAAAAGTTCTTTTCACAAACGATTTTTTAGGTTGGGGTGATCGAACTCGTAAAATCGTTGCCGCATTTCTTCTTTCTCTCGCCTTAAATCGCACATTTCTTCTCGATATGACATGGCCATGTTCCATTGAACAATATTTAACCGCGAATCTCATCTCCTGGTCAATCTCATCACATCTTCATGTGAAAAATCTTTCCTCTGCAATCAACATAACATCCTTAGCATCAACTGATCATCGTCTATTGGAATCTTATCATCAACAATATTCCGTTCTTTATATTCAAACAAAAAACATCGCGTATTTCGATCTCTTCTCGAAATATTCCTTATTTTATGAAGTTTTATTCACTCGATTTCGAATCAAACGCGAACATATTCAAATCATAACATTATATCCTCTTTTGTACGATTTACTCATCAAATTACAACCGAATCTACAAGACAAACTCGATCGATTGAACCTAACGGACTCAGATCAAGATGCGTTGTTATGTGGACACATTCGCATTGGTCGGAACCCATCAAATCTCAAAGATGTTGTCTTTCCTCATCGTGAGAAAATGAATGTAACTGTTTTGAACTTTCTTCGATCTCGTCCGGGTCGAGTTTTTATTACCACAGATTCAGGTGAAGTTCAGCACTTAGCGCGACAATTGTTTTCAACGAAAAGTCCGCAGGAGAATTCGCGATTAATCGAAATTAATGGAACGATTGCGCATATCGATCGAGACTGGAATTACTTGGCGTGTGAAAGTTTAGAAAAAACCATTTTGGATTTCCATGCGCTGAGTTTTTGTCATTTAGCGGTCATTTCCAAGAGTTCATTCGGACATTTGGCGATTCATAGACGAATTTATCCGTACGAAGAATTGTATCTTTATTGTAATGGAATTAAAACAATTCAAAATTCAAATGATTATGATCGATACAAATATTCAACTTGTTAATATTCAGGAGAACTTTGTCAGATCGAAATTTTTCTCATTTTCGTTCAATAAACATAAATTTGGGTGATTTTTAATCTTCTGAAAATCGGAGTCACTAGATTAGGTAAAATAAACCGATCTCACGTTATGGGCGACTACTGTTTATTGTCGTTGTTTACAAAGGAAAACAAGTTAGGCTTCAAAGAGTTCACATCGAAGATGGATTTGCGCTGTTTTCAAAGAATCAATTGACACTTTTACTGATGAGAAGAATTTTTAAAGGAAGTTTTTTGGGATAACTTTTTTTCGTTAAATAAAGTGAAGCAGCAGAGGAAAAGTGTCCTATTCACGCCGATTTTTATTTGCATTTTGCGTCTTTTCTTGACATGTGATTTTAAATTGTAAGGGTTATAAACTTATTCCTCTTCTCTCAGCCTCTATAAAATCAACACAATTCACATTATCTTCTGATAGAATTTACTTTTAAATCGAGAACGATGGAGCGTTTTCCTATTTTTGGCGATCAGAAGTGGAAATTTTTCAAATTGATAACAATACAAGACGGCGAATGCGGGAATGGATATGAATGCACAATTAATATTTGGCCAATCGCCTTCATTCTTGCATTATTTTTCATTATTTTTTGCGGTATTTTTTATTTTTACAAACGAAAACAACGTCGACATGAAAAACCAGTGGTAAATACAATTTCAATTGATGGTCGTTTGAAAAAGGCTTTGGTAGTGTTCAACAAAGAGAAAAACAGTAAAACTCAAATCTCGGTGATTCCGAACGTTTTCCTCAGACTCCAAAGAACTCCCCATGCCATTTTCAGTCTCTCCAATGAAACATCACAATGTATTCAAGACTTGGAATTCTTCAATATTGTCTTTCTCATCACGATTTTCAATTTGATTCGATTCTGTCGTTTTCCGCATAATTCTACGAATACACAGGTTTTCAGTTTACCAGTTGTCACTCATCGAAAAACATGGAATGATTATTTATATTTATTTTTCGTACTGAAATCTTTGAATAATGGGAATACCATCGATGTCAACATTGATTTCTCACCGATGGTTAAGACAACTGAAACTTCCATCGAACAGAAACCTACGTCGACTGAAGAACGAGAATTGGTTTGTTTCTGCGATGGAAGTTATTCTCATTTATTTAAAATCGGTTATTCAGGCTTTCGAACATCGTCTGGAACTTATCGATTTCGTTTTCTTTCTGCGATATATCGAAGTACAGATACAGAAGTTCTTGCTGCATATTTAGCAATCGAATATGCGCTAAAACATCGATTTGCAAAATTTCGTCTATACACGGACAATTCCAAAGTGAAACAACTTTTTCAACGACAGACAAACAAAGATGTGACAAGATATGCGGACTTTTGTGAAATTCTTCAGTTGTATAAACAAAATTACGGAGAAGATGCGATCGATGTTATACAAGTTCGTGGACATACGACGAGATCTGAACAAATGAATTGTAAAATCAAAAGGGAATTCGCCAGAATCGATCGATTTGTTCGCAGAAAAACGCGTCAACACATCCGAAGGTGGCGGAAAACAAANCGACAGACAAACAAAGATGTGACAAGATATGCGGACTTTTGTGAAATTCTTCAGTTGTATAAACAAAATTACGGAGAAGATGCGATCGATGTTATACAAGTTCGTGGACATACGACGAGATTTGAACAAATGAATTGTAAAATCAAAAGGGAATTCGCCAGAATCGATCGATTTGTTCGAAAGAAAACGCGTCAATATATCAAAAAAAATGGTAGAAACAATTCGAAAGTCATTTTATGCACATGTGATATATTCAGAGTAGATTTACACACACTTCATCAAGCTGGAAAAAGAACGTATTTCGCTGATTGTATTTCTTTTTTATAATTATCTGAACATTTCAAATAGAAACAACTCCACAATCGTAACTCATAGACGTCAATAATCACATATGAATTGTTCAAAAAAAAGCTCGACTCTCTATTGGGTATTTTTCAGAATCAATTGGCATCTAGTTTGATTTATATCCGAAATAATCCTGAAGTGGCACAGTACTGTCAATATACGATGTTTATAGGTTTACAGAGGATTCAATTGAATTTGTACTTGGTATATCGTTTTGTTTCATCACGATCGTTTTACCTGTATCGTAGTTCTTCGATTTTCTATAGGTTCTTTGTAAAAAGGAAAAATATCTATTCATGGCAGCACCAGAAGGCGATTTTATGTATTTGTGTGTTAGTTAATAACAGTTGATGTCGTGTTTCGAATTGCACTTTAAAGTATTCCATGGGAATATTCCTAAATACTCTCGTGTAAATTCATTGAATAACTATGAATCAAATCTCATTCAGTAAATCAAACATTATTAATTCGACAATCACATGTACGTCAATTCTATTCATTGTGTTATGTCAACACAGATAAAAATAGTGATTCACGTAAAAGCGGATAAAAACTATAAAAGCCACGTGGTCTCGTCGATAGCATATGCTCGTCGTGTTCTTTTTTAACTATTGTAATGTTTATATCGACTCCAAAAGTCATTTTGGTTGAAACATGTTCGAACGAATCAATGAGCAGCTTTTATTCCAAATTAAATGTTCATGAAGATCTGCAAACATTCCATGATATTAATTTATGCATTGACTATATCAAATCTCATTCTAGTGAAACGATTATTCTTGTTGTTTCTGCAAGTTTGGCTTTGAAACTTGTACCAGAAGTTTATGGTCTATCGAGTATTTCTATGATACTCATGTTTTGTACGTCAATCGACAATGATACAAAATGGACGAAGGAATTTTCCGATAAATTGCTGATGTTTGATGAAGAAGATGATCTCTTGGAGAGATTATGGTTACAAATCGAAGAATACTTTCGAAAACAAGCCAAACAATTTAGTGAACAAGCAGATCAATATAAACAACGTGCGAAAAAACTAGAACAATCGTGTGGATAGGTAATTTTTCGAATGATTAGTAATGTTTTCGATCTCTATTCCTCAACAACTCAGTTAGTCATCAAATAACAAATTTATTACTTTGAATCAATAAAATAAACATGACAATTTAGTAAACAAGCAGAAACGAGAAGAATATATTGGCTTCGAATACATATTTTGTATCCAATGAAGCGTAACGATGAGCAACCAGTTTCGTACATTTCCTTGATGTTAAATTGCAATAGTGACTGTGGAATACATGACTTGATTTGAAAAAGGGAGAACGGTGGTTTGTTTTTCATTGAACTGCAATCGATAGCACAGGTTCTATTGGATGTTCTTTTAGTTTTGGAGATAAGTGTTGACTTTCTGATCAAACAAAAATCATTAACAGCGGCAGTTAGTCGCTTTCTTTCGATGAGTGTTTTGTATTTATCTTTACAGACTAAACAAACAGATGATACCCACAGCCACTAGTAACACTGCAGCTGTCAGTCAGAAGTGGCCAAAGAGTCTCTAAAAACAATTCAAGAACACGTTTTAACTTTCTCTATGATCAAGTGAAGAATTGTGCTTACCCCATATCGCCTCACCGGATGCCATGTAGACGTTAAAGTACTTGCTCACAATGTTACTTGCATGAAATAATTGATGTTCTGTAAGCCTAGTTGATATGAATACAAAAAAAGCAGCAGTGTCTTATAGATAGAATTGGGGAATCTTTCAACAAATAAGGAAATTCTTCAATTGGGTAAAATGTGAAACTAAGAACTTCCCTTGCCTCGTTAGAGCGCACAAAGAAGATTCTACATCTCTGGTATTCTCATTCGTATAGCCTTCGATAAATTTTACTTTCATCATTGATCGGAATTTTCCGTTGATGCTGAGTCATTGAGAAACTAATCGTTATCGTTCGATTCACTGATGGATGACTGTGATAGTGAATCAAAATGTCACCATTCAATCGTAATAGAATTTACCTATTGCTGAATGTAGTGACAAAGTCGGAAAAAATCCTGTCCGAGAGATCTGACTAACACATCAGTAGTATTTGTTGTGCAATACTAACAAACAGACGTTGTCTGAGATACATTTTCCGCTAAACCAAATGCTTTTGTGAGCTTTCAATAACTTATTGGTCTGCAAACATGAAAATAGATGCTTCTCGCATGAACCTGCTCGTAACCCTCTGTCTTTGAAACGGTAAGCTGCATTTGAAATGTTTGTATGATTGCACATATTTGTCGGATATGTTGAATATCAGTGAAAAAAACAAAGCGATGAAAATCCCCACTAATTCAGCACGTTAAGAATCTTCTCGATTTATCTTTTCTTCGAAATTATGAATCATTTCTATTGTCAGAATAGCAGAGGAGATGAGTAATTGAAGTCAACTATTGAAAAGCACCGACTTCGGTAACTTCATTTTCGGCATATTTAGAATGATTTTCTTGTCTTGATCGACAATTATATGACAAAGCAACGATCACGGGAAAAAATGCCCCGAATGCGTCTTTCACCTATTGTAACGGTTTCTGTGTTGTCTGGAAGTCATTATCTTGTACTTCCATCAATACAAATTCACAATGCTATCAATTCATATGTATTTTATTACGTGTGTAATGGAAATTTTAAAAAAACAGATAGCTGAATCGACGAGAAATCGAAAATTTTCAAAAAGTCATTAAATGTTTTTCATGGAAATTGCACCACTGGCATGTATTCTGCGATCTGTTCTTTTGGTTTTTGACTGAAATTTTTATTTTCATATGTTGATCAATTAATATCATCTACAGCTGTAATTCTTCGATTTCTTGCGATGAGATTTGTATATTTCTCCTTGAAAGCAAGGCAATAGATAGCACCCAAAACTATTAGTAATACTAGGATTATAACGAACCATGGCCAATGAGTCTCTAAGAAAAATCCAAGAAGAGGCTTAAAATTTTTCTGGAAGAGATGATCAAGTGAAGAGTTATGCTTACCCCATGTTACCTCACCGGATGGTACATAGCCACCAAGATAGAAAATCATAATATTGCTTAGTACAAGCGAATGTGGTTGTGGACGTATATGCAGAAGCATTTATAGGTGAGGGTGTATCTGGAAAAACCCACTATTTGATCAATCATGCGTTACTTCATTTGAAGTATGCAGAAAAAGATTGTCTACTACGTTTTGATCACTAATTTCGAAATTCCTTTCAAGCACATTTTCTTGTACATATCGTGATATTCATAATCTCAATTGATGTTATACAACATGCTATGATATTCTTTGAACTGAAGAAGAACGATGGACTAGACGTGAAGAGATTTTTCTCGAAATATTATTCAGAATTTCCTCGATTTAATCTTTTTATGATTATAATTAGATGTCCAACTAGTTGCGTCAACTTTCTGCTTTAATTACATTTAGATAAGAATTAGATTTAAGTTTTGCTTTTGATACCTCATGTGCATCGCGAATAATAATAAGAAGTTGATTGAACAATTATGGGAGTTTTGTCTGATGAAATTCTAATTGAAATTGCCGAATATGTTGATGACCATTGATTGTATAAAAGACTTTTTCCTAGTGTTTACTCTCGTTTGATTAGCCTTCGATTCGATTTTTTTCATCATACCTGTTTGGTATTTTTCCTCCAATGTAGAACTATCTCATAGCTGATCGTTATCGATTCATTTCATTGACGAATAGCTATCACATCAAATTTCGATTGTTTGGTTCAGCCCAAACGAGATGTATTTGTTGCTAATTGTGATGTTGCAGTCAGAAGAAGGTGAATTCAAGAGATACGCTTTCCAATGATAGAAAACAAACTTTTTACGAGTCTTATTCTGAACTAGACCGAATTTTTTTTGAGTTTGCTGATTACAATTCATTCACTTTTACATCATGAAATTCTATACTTTTCGATGAATCTATTAGCGACTATGTACTTTTAGAATGACAGATTTTACTTGAGCAAATAGAGCATCGATGTGAGATTGTTTATGTTTTAATCAATGATTTCGAGATTAAATGAATCACCGTATCAAAAAAACAATTTCTAGTGTTTTCTCTTTACAAATTTTTGCCCAGTCATACTTTCGTTTGATAAACCTTTGATCTGATTTTCTTTCAGTTCGATCGTTTGGAATTTTCCAGCAATGTTTAGTCATACCAAAAGGTGATCATCGATTTGTTTATTTTCGGATCACTATTGCAGTCAATGTTGATGATGTCATTTAGTCCAAATAAAATCTACTTATTGTTGTTTGCAGTGACAAAATCACATGTGGGTAAGATGAGCAGCAACTTTACATACGATTTACTGTTTTTGTTAATATTTCATAATAATATGATTAATAAAGAAAACATTTCACTTGAGATCACCAATTTCTGTTTTCTTTTTCTTCCAATATATATAAATAAATATCATATCATTACTTATTCTATTCTTTCTTGCATATGAATAGAAAAAAGATAAGAAAATTATTTTTCCAAGTGATGAATTAAATAATTTGGAAACTTCGCATCGATATGAAATAGGACTAACAAATATTTCAAATAAATCTTTTCAATGAAAAACATCAACACTATCTGTATCGTCTTATCCATTGAAAGCAGATTTTTTTAGAACATTTATAATAAATGACTCATGTCAATAGCAAACATAGATGAACACGTTCTTCCTTTGTCCGTTCGTCTCGACATGATCAATATATCATGTATATAGGTGAACTAAAAGCGACATCTATTGTCGGCAAAAGCTTAATTTCAATTTTTTTTCGGCAAAGATAATTTTTGTGCACAAAATAAAAATAATATTTTTGTAAAACAAATAAAAATAAAGATTAGAGGAGGCTTTGCTAGAGGACTATAATTGGTTGAGTAAAGACAAAATCCAAGATGTACATGCATATCCATAAAAGTAGCTTTGTCATTATTTGTTGAGAAAGTTCTCCATTCATTGTTTTTCGATTGGATTTCAGTCTTCGTTTGACCAGTGGTCGATTTCTTTCTCGAATCGTTCTTCATCATGGATTCAGATAATGATTCAGGCAATTCGAACGATGCTCCAGTCCATCGTCGTCGTACACAAGGTACTCGTCCGCCACCTTCGACCTTACCACGTCTATCAGTAGGAAATCAGAACAAAAACAAAACTTCCAACGATCAAACTTATCATCCAAATGAACAAGATAGACCATATTCTGACGATGATGAAGTTGATGACGATGAAGATGATGAAGATCAACATCAATCAGCATATCGTGGTCGCGGTCGACCATCCCAACAACAAAGTTTAATGGATAGTTCATATGATGACGGAAATGATCATCATAATTTACCAAGATATACAGGTCCTTTACGAGAACAAGATCGATTCTTACCAATTGCAAATATTGCTAAAATCATGAAAAAAGGTGTTCCAGACAAAGGTAAAATCGCCAAAGATGCCAAAGAAACCATTCAAGAGTAAGTTCATTTCTGTACCCAAATCGTCGTTCTTCACATTTCTCTCTCGATTTCAGATGTGTTTCGGAATTTATTTCATTTATTACAAGCGAAGCATCAGATCGATGTCTTCAAGAAAAACGTAAAACTATCAATGGTGAAGATATTCTCTTAGCTATGGTTACACTTGGCTTTGATTCGTACGTTGAACCATTACGAACATTTCTAACAAAAGTACGTGACGCATCGAAATACGATCGAACGATTACAATGGGTGCCGACATTTCGGATGAAATACATTTACAAACTCCACAACCAACAACAAATTCTGCACAAGTTCAACCACAGACGAATTCCAATGGACTTGAACCTTACGGAAACTCCGTAAGAACATAATTTTCTCTTTCGAAAGCATCTCTTGAATGTCGCTTCTTTAAGGTTCGTGTCGTCACTTGTATTCGAAACGATCAACCAGGCGAAAACCCGAACTATGTCTATACAATTCAACCATATCAATAATCGTTGGACAAATCTTCATCTGTACATTTGATACTTTCTTTTTGCTCTGTACATTGAGTCTTTTTGTTATTCGATTAACTCGTAAAAGAAAAACATAACCAAACAACTTTACTCGTTTTTTCTCTTCTTACAGATTAAACTTCATGGACGACTTCTCTCTATTAATTGAGTCATTGATTCAGAGTGAAATTGATGATATGACACTTGATTTAGTTTATGAAATCCATTCATCGCTCAAAGGTATTCCTCAAGATGAGATTTCAACAAATAATTATGATCAGAAAAGAATATCAATCGAAAAACAGACTTGTATTTGTCCAAATTGTGGTCAAACAAATTTAGTTGCAATCAGATTCGCTTATCACTTAGCGAAATGTCTTGGTAAGACGACAAGACACGGAAATGACTGTCTATGTTCGATTTAGGTGCTGGAAGACAATCGTCACGGCAAGCTCAACGTCGAATTGTGGATCAAATAATGATATTTACAGATTCAGATGAAAATCGATCTAATGGAAATCAATTTTCGAAAGATATTGAAACGAATTCCGTGTCGGAAGATGGAAGTTCGTGTACAGGTAAATGGAAACGATCGAATAGATTTGAAGATAAAAATTCGTATGATGAAAGATTCGACATCAAGTTCAATGACAATACCCGGTTCAAATAAAACGCATCTACGTGTTTCGAACGAAGAGAAAAATTGCTTTGATGAATCTGAAAACGATGATGAAGAAGAATGGAAACCGAAAAAGAAGAAACAACGAACGAAAATCACTTCAACAGCTACAAATAGCAGAAAGAAGAAAAAAGATCTTCTTCTCGTTGTCGCTCCATCAACAACGAAACTCAATTGTATAATTCCATATGAAAATATCAAGTATTTCCTTTTTTTTTCTTCTCGTCATTTGAAATTCTCTATATTTTTCCTCTTTAAGTCCGGTGACAAAACGAACTGTGATGCCATTAGTTCCACTTCCAGTAACAACATCAAATAGTGATCGAATATTTTTCAAAAATCATCCCGTCTCGTCTGATTCTTCACATTATTTTGTTCAATCCCCATTAAATCTAGTCGATGATGATCAATCATCAATTATTATCTTTAAAGAAGATATTAATAATTGATTTTGTTTCTTTGTTTTGAATATTCGCGTTCGTGTCACTTTATGTTCAGTCAATTTATTCTTCTCATGTCTTTTTCTCTGATGAAAATTTGTAAAGTCAACTAAAGCGAAATAAGAAAAGAATTTTTTGATAAAAAAATATCATATGACTAATATTTTGTATTTTTATATTTCATTTCTGTGTTTCATGATGTTCTTTCAATCAGAAGAAAAGCCAATATTTAATTTGTCATACTTAATAAAATCATCAGTTTCATTTGAAAATTTCTTTGTCATATCGATTGTTGACTTTAGACGTACGAGATTGTTCGTTGTTGAGATATATGACACATGAATTTTCATTTATTTCATATCATTGCTAAGAATATGCATTGGAAAATGAGTTGAATTACTCAATTTGAATTTTATGAAATTGTGTAGATGTCAGCAGGTTTCGGGTGACGTCACTGACACAGAGGTCTGTGAATACATTCGGTATGGTTGATGAATTGCATCAGCATCGTTGGATTTTAAGGAGGATTTCGAAGAAATACATCATATTTTCGATTTCTTTAAATATGTTAACTTTTGAATTGATTTGAAAGAAAGAGTAACAAATCCATTTGATTTTTGTTTTTGAAGAAATGGCTACAGCAACTTCAACTGATTTTTCCGTCTCAGGAGAAACACTTCAGTTTGGAAACAATGAGAAAAACATCTTAGCCTATTGGAAACAAATCAATGCATTCGAAACAAGTAATAAATTATCCAAAGATCGACCAAAATATACTTTTTACGATGGGCCACCTTTTGCCACGGGTCTTCCTCATTACGGACATATCTTAGCTGGAACTATCAAAGATACTGTCACACGTTGGGCATATCAAACAGGTCATCATGTTGAACGACGATTTGGTTGGGGTAAGTTTTCACTATTTATTAACAAAAATAGAAAAAAATATGGAATTTTCTTTTGATTAGATTGTCACGGTTTACCTGTGGTACGAAGTGTTTCTTCGATATTTATGAATTTAATTGTTGTTTGAATTTAGGAATACGAAATTGATAAAACACTTGGTATCAAAGGACCTGAAGATGTAGCGAAAATGGGTATTGCTACATATAATAATCATTGTCGACAAATTGTCATGCGATATGCTAATGAATGGGAGGTGTGTTGTGATATTTGATGGAAAATATTCGTTTATGAGAAATAATTTAGGATGTTGTCGATCGAATGGGTCGATGGATTGATTTTCGACATGATTATAAAACAATGTATCCATGGTTTATGGAATCGGTTTGGTTTGTTTTTAAACAATTATTCGACAAAGATCTCGTCTATCGTGGTTTTAAAGTTATGCCTTATTCTATGGGTTGTTGTACTCCATTATCAAACTTCGAAGCTGGACAAAACTATAAGGATACAGATGATCCAGCTGTTTGGGTATCTTTTCCACTTGTTGATGAACCAACAGTGAAATTAGTTGCATGGACAACAACACCATGGACATTACCATCAAATCTCGCACTTTGCGTTAATCCTAATTCAACTTATGTGAAAATTCTCGGTTGGTATCTTTTTTCAAATTTCCATTAAAGAAATTCTTTTGAATTCTATCAGATAAAACCAAGAATGAAACTTTTATTCTCATGGAAAAACGCTTGGCTGAACTTTATAAAAAACCTGATAGTTATCAAGTTTTAGAAACGTAAATTTATTTTCTTTTATGTTCATAGAAAAAATTTTGCTTCTCTTCTTTCAGTCTTAAAGGATCTCAATTAAAAGGCTTACGTTACACACCATTATTTCCTTATTTTGCTCATGTAGGATTAATATTTAATGTTAATCTTTCGATGATTCGTTTTTGTTCATGTAGGTTGAATCAGCATTTCGAGTTTTATGTGATGATTATGTAACAGAAGAAAGTGGTACAGGTGTTGTTCATCAAGCTCCGTATTTTGGTGAAGATGATCATCGTGTTTGTTTGGCCAATGGTGTTATTAACAGAGATACAGGTCCAGTTGTTTGTCCAATTGATGCACAATGTCGATTTACTGACGAAGTGAAAGATTTTCAAGGACAAAATGTCAAAGAAGCCGATAAAGCAATTATCAAATTTTTAAAAGAAAGCAAAAGACTTGTTCATCAATCAGTAATGAAACATTCGTATCCATTTTGCTGGAGAAGTGATACACCGTTAATTTATCGGGCTGTTCCATCCTGGTTCGTTCGAGTAGAAGGAATGATTGATCGATTATTAGCGAACAATAGCAAAGCATATTGGTAAATGTTACATTTTCGAGGGTGAGGAGATGTTTAATGAGACTTTTGTAGGGTTCCTGATTTTGTTAAAGAGAAACGCTTTGCTAATTGGCTTCGTGATGCACGTGATTGGGCAATTTCACGTAATCGATATTGGGGTAATCCTATTCCATTATGGATCAGTGATGATGGACAAGAAGTTGTTTGTGTTGGCTCAATCGAAGAATTACAACAATTATCTGGTGTTAAACTTGATGATATTCATCGTGAATTGTTCGTTGACCAAATATTTCGCATTGATTTTTAAAAAAATTCCACTCGCTTTCTTTCTTTTTCAGCGTCGACGATGTGACAATTCCATCTCGAACAGGAAAAGGTGTATTACGTCGCATTCCTGAAGTATTTGATTGTTGGTTTGAATCAGGTTCAATGCCTTACGCTCAAGTTCATTATCCATTTGAGAATAAAGATACTTTTATGAATACATTCCCAGCTGATTTCATTGCTGAAGGTATCGATCAAACTCGGGGATGGTTTTACACATTATTAGTCATTTCAACGGCTTTATATGATCAACCGCCATTCAAAAACTTAATTGTTAATGGAATCGTTTTAGCGTCTAATGGAGAAAAGATGTCCAAACGAAAGAAGAATTATCCCGATCCAAAACTTATCTTCGAAGAATACGGTGCTGACGCACTTCGACTCTATTTAATCACTTCACCTGTTGTACGTGGTGAATCATTGAAATTCAAAGAAGAAGGTGTTCGCGATGTGGTCAAAGACGTGTTCTTACCATGGTACAATGCATTACGTCTTCTTGTTCAATCTTGTGATCAACTAAAAGTTGATAAAAAAGTTACTTTCGTTTATGATGAAAAACGTCTGTACGCATCAATGGCATCAAATACAAATGTCATGGATACATGGATCGTTTCGTACACTCAAACTTTATTAGATTTTGTTAAACAAGAAATGGATGGTAAGATTTACATTCAATCATTGGATTTCAAGTTTCATTGAAATTTTAGCTTATCGATTATATACGGTCGTACCACGTCTTGTTAAATACATTGATATGTTAACTAACTGGTATGTCAAACTGAACAAACGACGTTTTAAAGTAAGATGAAATGATTTGCTTAGTTGAGAGATGAAAATGACTTCTGTTTCAGGGAGAAACATCACAAGAAGATTGTCTTATTTCATTGAATGTTCTTTGTTACGTTCTTTTGACAATGTCGAAATTAATGGGACCATTTACACCATTCCTAGCGGAATATATGTATCAAGTTTTGAGAAAATTAATGCCACCTTCATCGGCAGATGCTTCGGAACAAGACTTGAGTGTTCATTTCCATTTAATGCCCAAATCCGAGTTCGTCTCTTCGTTACATTCATTGAAAATATTTGAAAAAATTAATTTCATTTAGGAATTCTTTGATTAACAAAGAAATCGAACGTGCTGTTGCAGCTGTGCAAACAGTTATCTGTATGGGTCGTGTTGTACGAGAACGAAAAATCGTTCCAATGAAAGTATGAATTCATTTGTCATAGAATCATTTTCAAATGGCAATTTCATTGATTTTTCAGTATCCATTACCCGAATTCGTTATCATTCATAAAGATGCATCGATACTGAAAGAGTTACAATCATTAGAAGATTTCGTTCGAGAAGTACGAATGATCAATTCGGAATTCTTTTGATTTCTATTGGAATATTTACAGGGTTTGAACGTTCGTAAAGTGACCTTTTCACAAGATCGAGAACTTTATGGTGTTGAAATGCGCGCTGAACCTAATTATCCAACATTGGGAAAGAAAGCTGGATCGAAAGTTAAAGCAGTAACGGAAAAAATCCGCGCAATGTCGGATGCAGATATTGAACAATTGTTATCTAAAGGAGAAAATGAAGGTCCGTTGACAGTTATCGACGAAATTCCAATTGAAACCGAAGATGTTCATATTGTTTATCGGGTTGCGAAACAAACACAATTTGAAGCAACTGCTGAACAAGGAGTAAGATAAAATACATTCATCTTCGAATTGATCTTCTTTTTTCTTTTGTAGTTTGTTGTTTTACTTGATTATACAGCTGATGCATCATTGAAAGATGAAGGTCTCATTCGAGAAATTACTAGTCGTGTTCAAAAACTTCGAAAAGAAGTTCGTATTCTTTTAATTTTCATTTCGAATCTATTTTGTCTTATTTAGGCAAAAGTCAAACCAACGGATGATATCAATATTTATTATGCTGTTGAGCCATTAACAAGTGAAATTGCTCGTATTGCATTAGAGCAACAAAATGAGATTACAACAATTCTTGGAAAACCATTTCTTCCTTTGGCAAGTTCACAAAATAACAAAGTTATTATCTCAAAGAAAGTACCCGTAAGTCATGTGGAATTTTGTGTTTGTATTTTTACTAATTCATTTTATTGTCTATTAGGTGAAAGATGGTGAAATTGAATTCGTTATCACTGAAAGTACAAATTAAAACAAGAAAAATCAAAATTACTTTCATTTTTGGTTTGAGCTCTTTTATTTTCTCCGCTACTCAACAATTGCGATCGATTATCCGTTGTTTTTGTCATCACACTCACATTGAAAAATAAAAACATTACCTATTCATCACTTTTTGAATAACATTCGAAGCTTCCAAACAAAACGATACGATTCTCGTAACGAAATTGATACATTATAGTTTATTACTTTTTTTCCATTTTCATATTATTTGGTTATATGATTGAAAGTATATTCCATATCGATTTCATATGCATAGCTTTTTTCTGGAACGATCTATGTGATTATCGTCGTTGTTCTAAGTATTTGCTCATCATTATATGACATTGATATCGAAGTTGTGATTGTTATCAGTATGGATCTTATTACTCATGTTTGATTGTGTGCTGCAAGTCAGTTAGATTCTCTTTCATGTGTTTTGTAATCACAATGCTTGCTGAATTTACTGTTAGTCCGTTTCGATTCAACTAATCAAGATGACACATTTATGGAAAGATCAACTAAAAATAGAATGGAGAATAGTTTACTAACGGAAAAAAGAATCAAAGGACAAAATAATTATTCTATTAAGATATATAAATAGAAGACTATGTGACTGGAAAGATTAAAAATCCAATGATAGAAAATGTCAACTGACAAAAAAGTACTTTCAATAGAATATTCAATAAAAGTTAATTTTCTTGATTTTATGAATCTTCATTTTTCATTTACAAAATGATCTCGCGATTATTTACTTGTCGAAAAACGAACATCAGATTTGTTAAAAATTTCATTTTCAGATAATAATCATCAATCAATTCCATATATAATTCATCACTCTTCTGTAAGGATTTCAGAACATTTTGACTTTTAAATCTGATCATTGTCTGACCTTTTATTTGTTCTAATTTCATAAAAATAGAAGAAGATCATCTGTCAAACTTATCTTCCTTCATACTACAGGCAGTCACATGCATTTGTTCGTAATCAAACTGAAATTCTTCTATATTTAATAATCACAAGATTTCAAAGACTTCTCAACCTTTCCATATTTATCTCTACAATGAATTCGTATGAAAAGTTCAATATCCTTGAATATCTTTCTATTCACCTGGATATTCATTACGAAATTTGTAATTTGACTTGCAGCACACTGATACTGAACTATTTAAATAACTTACAATCATCTTCAGACTCTCAAAAATTATACAATGATGAACAATTCAATGACGGAAATCTTCTTCGACGAGAAACATGTGGCACATCAAGTGAAATTTGCAATTCTATTAACTTTACAAATACCATCACTTATCTTATCTATTCTAATTCTTCTATTTTTCTCAATACATCGAACAATATTACGTGTTCGTCAAAATCAAGGTTTGTTCATCTTATTAATTGTCAATTTTATTCAAGTAACATTCGATTTACCAATGGTTATTCATTATAATCATCTCGGTCGTGTTAGTCCAGCAACACATGCTTATTGTACATGGTGGACATTTCTTGAATATTCTCTCAATGGCGCTGGAGAATTGTTAATGGCAACAATATCCATTCAACGACATATTCTTATCTTTCATGCAAATCTCTTCAATAATCGATTAAATCGATATGTTTTTCATCATTTACCACTTCTCATTTGTATTATTTATCCAATAATTCTCTATTTGATTATTATTGTATTTGATTTTTCTTGTGATGGAACACAATGGGATTATAGTTCAAATGCTTGTGGATTAGCAAATTGCTTTATGGTTTTCAATAAACCATTAGCTGCAGCTGATTGGGGTGTTAATAATGGTTTTCCAATCATTGTCATTACAATTGCCAATGTATCTTTGATTATTCGAGTAGTTCGACAAAGACTTCGTCAACACGGATCAGTTTCTTGGAAGAAACAACGACGAATGACAATACAATTATTAAGTATTTCATGTCTTTATATGATCGCTTGGTTTCCAGGAATAATTGTGGCAATTATTCAACATTTAGTAATACCAACATTTCTTTTAGATATTCAAGTTGAATATATCTTTTATTTAACATATATGATTTGTTTATTTATTCCTTGGATTTGTTTGGGATTATTTCCGGAATTTATCAAATGGATTTGGAAAAACGTGACACCTCGATCAATGTCCAGTAATGTGATCAAACCAATAAAATAACTTGTGATTTTTCATTACTATGAAACGCTATCCTTTCCTCCTTCTTTACCTTCAATAATGTTCAATGAACAAAAAAAAGAATTTAAACAATATCTAAACTAACAACAATATAATTCGTATTATTTCTAATTGTGTTAATTAGATGAGTTCCTTTTCCATATTCTTCATATTTATTTGTTAAATTTTCTATTGAATTATTTCATAATCATAATAATCGATTGAGTATGTGTCGAATACACTAGAAAAGTTGGATTTGCTCGAAGCTGCTAATAACATCGTTGCAAGTTTTACTGAATTTTATTTTGATCTGATGTTATAACATAATTATAATAATAACCTTCCATAGACTTTTACGTCCATTGGGGCGGCCACGGTTATTATTAGTATTTTTGCACGTGCAACCGGGTTCTATCGTCTTTTCTTTTTTATGAACGGCGGCATCTGCTTCCTCTTCCGTCTAACATACTGACTAAGCGTGTAATCAGTATGAATGACTCACGTGGTATGAGCCAGGTAGACAACTTAGTCGTTGATGACTTGTCTAAGATCATTCCATCGATGATATTACTGAGATTCGAACATAGTGCCGTATCATTCCGTGTTGGACAACGTAACTATTCATCCATGAAATGAAATTTAATATAAATTACAAAGTTTTCTCAAATACGATCAAATCTTTGTTAGAATTTCCTTATTTTCTCAACATTTCTATTGTCAATCATTTAAAAACAATAAAGATTTCATTAAATCTGTTGTATATTAATCATAAACACTTATCAAACTAAGCAAAGACATTAAGTATAATTGATCTCATAAGTTTTCATCAATTACTAAATTAAAATCATCCATCTGAGATAGATAATATTTGAATTTAAATGAACTCATTTTCCGATTGTTTATCGTATACAAAGTATCTGTTGATATATTCATCATGTAATATTCTTCATCAATTGAAATATACACATATCGAGAAAGGAAATATGCTTTCCACTAAAAATGATATGTCATTCAGTGGAATTTATTGTACTCTTTTGAGAATTTCATCAGAATTATTTTGTATAAGAAAAGATTATTTTTTCTCTGTCACTATTGATCAATACTTTCGAAAAAAAGAAAAATTAAGAAGATGATGAAAATGTGCAATTAGATTAGAAATAATGCAAATTATATGTCAAAATAAATCTTCTCTTTTTCTTCATTTTTAGACATGTCATTCAGCAGAGATTTCATTTTCTCCTTGATTAAAAGAATCTTTAACTCGTTTTTTTCCTAATGAAATAACAAATTTCATTGAATTTGCTTTTTATTATTGACAAAAGTCATGAATGAAATTAATTTCACGACGTTTCAAGATGAGAAATTTGTTCTTCATCGAGTCAAATTTGCGATTTTATTAACTTTACAAATCCCCGCAATTCTCCTTTCCCTTTTGATCTTTTTTTATTTCTTCACACATCGAACGATTCTTCATATTCGTCAAAATCAAGCTTTATTTCTCTTATTAATCATCAATTTCATTCAATTAACATTCGATTTACCAATGGTTATTCATTTCAATCGTCTTGGTTACGTTAGTCCAACAAAATCATCTTATTGTGCATGGTGGACATTTCTCGAATACACTCTCAATGCTGCAAGTGAAATGTTAATGGCAACAATATCAATTCAACGACATATTCTTATCTTTCATGCAAATCTCTTCAATAATCGATTAAATCGATATGTTTTACATCATTTACCACTTCTCATTTGTATTATTTATCCAATAATTCTCTATTTGGTTATCATTGTGTTTGATTTTTCTTGTGATGGAACACAATGGGATTATAGTTCAAATATTTGTGGATTAGCAAATTGTTATCTTGTTTATGACAAAGTTTTAGGAAGTTTTGATTGGGTAGTTGATAATGGTTTACCTGTTGTGGTGATCATTTTGGCGAATATTGGACTTATTATACGTGTTCTTCGACAAAAACGTCGTGGTCAAGGGATTATTTCATGGAAAAAACAACGAAAATTAACACTTCAATTATTGAGTATTTCTTCAATTTATTTTCTCGGATGGTTTCCGAATATTTTCATTGGAATTATTCAACAATTATTCATTCCAGGATTTATTTCTAATATTCAATTTGATTACATTTTCGATTTACTTTATCTGATTTATCTTTTAATGCCATGGATATGTTTAGGATTATTCCCAGAATTTATTAAATGGATAAGGAAATTCTTTGTCAAAGAATATCAAAGAGGAAATACTATTCGACCTACAAATCATTTCAATTAACTCACTTACATAAAACCTTTATTTTTCACTAAAAGTAAATAAATTTTGTTCATCTTCTTTGTACTTATCGGAGGGAAGACGACCATTTATATAAACCCAGACAAACACGTGAGATATATATAGCGATCAGTCTGTATGTTACTTGTCAAGAAAATCGTATTTTCTTAACCAGATTTATAAGTCCGCTCATTTCATAGAATCCCCAAGAACCTCCGCTGGCAGATCTGTCTTAGATTCCATTAGCTAAATTTCAGTCTGTTGCTGTAGATCGTTAATGAGCGCTACTTTGAGCTCTATATTTTGTTACGATTCTAACAACTAACTAAACCCGACAGCAGCGAAATTCGATCGAATCAGAGCATCAGATGATATATGCTGAGTGCTAAGATTAATTTGTCACACTAAATTTGTAAATGTCAAAATGAATTTAAAATATGGGCAAAGCCATCTTTTGTCATTCTCAGAGAAATCCTATTTTATGTCTTCTGACAGTTTTTGTTGTAGTAGAATTGTGAAATATGTTGATTGAAATTGTTCAGGTGAGTTGTGGTACGAGAATTTCTTAATTTAGTTTTCTGAGTTTCAATTGCTTCAAAGAAAGAACAAAATAGTTCGGAGAAAATCGTCTGTAAAAGGATCTTCTGTTTCACTGAGAGTTCATACGATACACTATACAGAACCTCTCTCTTTTCGATGAATTAATATTCCTGTGGACACATCAGTATAATCTCTGAAATATCCATTGAAAATTCAATGACAATATCGCCAGAATACTTTTAAGTTTGATATTTTTATCATGAAGGATATCGTAATGACGTATATAAATGATAAGAATGATGAATGCCCTTTTGTTATAATCCGTATGGCATGTACTTGAGAAAATCTGATGACGTGAAGATTAACATGGGGATGTAGCTCATATGGTAGAGCGCTCGCTTAGCATGCGAGAGGTATTGGGATCGATGCCCAACTTCTCCAGATTGTTCTTTTTTCTTCAATTTATTATTTTATTTGTAAAATATAGAACATCTCATTTTATTTTTTCCGTTCTTGTGCTGTGATTCATATACTTTTGCAAAACTAACATAGATTTCGAAATTGACTCGTTCTCAGATAGTCTGTACTTTTTGAAGTCGCTTATAAGTATGGAATCAAACATCATAGAAGTCAAACCTGGAGATTCACGAATAAAAGAATAATTCAAAATTCATAAACATGAAGTAAGAAAGACGCCGAGTTAATTTCTTTCCTAGCGAATATTAGACTAAATCTATGTGTTACGACCAATGAAAAAGCCAAGACTGAAAATAGACATACACTTTTCAAAGTATTAGATCAAACAGGCAATAGTGTTTGACCTTATTCATGATATAACCTCGTCTTCTTTGAGATACAAAAAAAATTCTTTTAAATTTATCATAAAATACTGTTTGTGCACAAGAATGTTAACGAAACTATTGAATGAAGTTTTCAAAAAGAAACTTACTTTAAACATAATGATTATTTCAATACGATTTACCAAACATTATTTGGTTCTTTTTAGTGTACTCAGAAAACAGAGTCAGATTGTGGTGAAACTTTCTGCACAGTTTAGTCTTATCAACATCTCGGCCGAGTTCGATGAAGAGTCTGATTGGAAGAGTCATTCATGAGTTATTGCCAAATTACTGACATTTCTCTATGATTACCCGTACATTTTTTGCAGTACATAAAACTCTTGAAATTTCCTCCTTTATTCGACATCGATATACAAGTATAATATGCTTCCATCTGTTTACAATAAAATAAACATTTGTAATTGGATACGTTATGCTTCAGCTATTATAACCAACAAAAAAAGCAATTGCGTTATCATTGAGAATGGGTTGTTACAGTGCACTACAACGATTTGTGTTAATTTTCATCAAAACGAGACAAGGATAATGTCCATATTTCTTAATTTATCGGTAGAACTTGTTTATCGAATTTTGGATCACGCGAGTGAATACACATTATGTGATTCAATACAAAATGTTTGTCGACGATTCGACCAGATTCTTAACACCTATCATCGATTTCAGATGAGTCTGCTATGCATTTTAATTATTTCATTACTCGTTAAATTGACTTGTGAGAAAGGAAAAGGACTATTAGAAAGACTGTGTGACTATGTTAACAACGCTGTAACAACTACGACTGATTCTTCTAAAAAGGCGAACATTTAAGCGATCACGATTTACTACATCTGGGAAAACTCCATACAAATATAGTAGTACAGTCATTCGGTAAAACTATCTAACAAAACTTTGAACGATATCTTTCAATCTGTCAAGAACAAATGTGACTTGAAGTGCATTCACTAACCATTTCAATGGATCTTCAACAACGAACACCAATCAGTTGCTATACGAAAATGAATAAAATCTTTCAAAAATGACATCTTTTTTGCAAAGAAATATCCATTGCATATACTTCTTTCCTCAGCTGAAATATCAACCGACATGTGCTGCCTCCTCAGTTCATCTAGACTGAATCTCTACAAACCTGAATAGACTGCCTGAATACACATAAAAACATATTAACTATATATACTTTCACATTTCTTCATGCAAACAACCGACAAAAGTTAAACCTTATTTTTCTAACTATAAACTATACAGACTTTTCACATCTGCCTTATTATTTCTGGACGCTCACTACACTGAAACTCTACTCGAATCAAATCGGAGACGTTGGGGCACAACATCTTGGTGATGTACTGCGCACAAATAAGATAGTATTCCTTCGTCCTTTACACGTTTCGTCTATCGGTCTGCTCTACCATATATACAGACACTCACTGAACTACACTTATGGGGCAATCAAACGGGAGACGAAAGAATACGATATATCTCCAATGCTGCCAACGATCACGTTG